CATATACTCAAGATTACTAATAATTTGCTAAGGTCTCAATGCCTTTAATGATATCTGTTCCCATTCTCAGGAGAATCAAGGCGTATTTGTAAACTGTCCGGAGCACGTATCTTGAGTCCTAACCACCCCCTCAATATGTGTGTCTTGGTTACCTTGCATTCTACCTGCATCTCCTCGTGATGCGTATTATCCAATGACTATATCAATAGTTATCCCAGCCGCCTGAGTGGACGTTGGCTGCCTCGTATTCTAGCCAAGAAGCCTCAGCCATGTTTTCCGTGTGACAAAGAGCGGCATAATCAAATACAGTTTCCGCCAAGAAACTCGGACGTCGATGCACTTAAATCCAACAGGGCGTATAATACAGCTGACTTGAAGTGTACAGGGTAGCATTACAAATAAGAATATCATTTATTTTTCACCTGTCAGTCATAGAAGACATTTAAATGCAAAAAGAAAATCACATTTTGTCTTAATATTACATAATTTAAAAAGCTCTGGCTATTCGTAATTATTGGTGTATAATTGTTCTTACGGGCGTAATGTAATCAATTAGGAGAGTAGGAACTTCATATATTTAATATTACGGTTTATACGGGATCTTGAACAGACCTATTGACTACTATAGTCAGCCTCTGCGGGGTTTATCAATAAGGGGCAACGGCGTGTATCGTATAGCGCCGTATTGGATGTCACTAAATAATAAGGTATCATGTGAGTATTGTAATACTATTGTATATGACTAGGAGATAAAGTCCTAGAAGGTAGTATAGCTGGCCCTACGCAAATAGCTGATGACCGTTCCGTCCATCCCTAACATTTAACCTCTTTTGACACGTAACAAAGTTCTCGCAGGGCTCGCTACTCAGTTTCTCCGGGAGGATTTTTTGTGGCGCTGGGCTTATTTTGATATGTGAAGTAATACGCACCAGCTATGTGATAATATTATAGTCCAGCCATATGAATAAACGACTTCATCTCAAGCGTAATAGTACAGAAACGCCATAAATTATAAGACAGTGGGCATCATATTTTGGATTTCTCTTAAAGATCACGCTAAAAGCCACTACAGCGCCCAGGATTCCAGGTATGACATATCTAAACGGCCTTACGACCCAAAAGAGGGGATAAATGACCTATCAGGGGAAATAAAACTACTATGAAAACTTGTGATGCTAGACGAGGGCTGCCATCTTCTGATCCCAAGTCTAATCACCCACTTGGTCTTTTAGATCTTAGATCTGCATAGTCATTAGAACAAGCCCGCTGATAATAGCTATGAATGTAATTCCATCAGAGTTTACACGACATTATTTGCTCTTTATTTACCGCAGTCTCCAAATATCCCGGTATTGATCGACTGTTGTGGCGTATATGCCCCCTACGAATGCCAATGTATCTAGAAGGAGGACAGCAACCGATCTCGACAACATGGCTCAGGCAGTACGCCACGTTCTTTAGTTTCTCCGGCTAATATAAGAGAACCTTAAGAGAGATCTTCGACATCAATAGAATAGCGTAGCCACTGGTTGATCTCCAAATCTAATCTTCGAGTAAGTATAGATGAATAAAAATTATGACAAGATTAAGCATTACCAATCTTCGTCATCGATACTAATGTTTCTCGTGTTTTGGTTGATGTATCTATTAGTGTTTTTGTGACTTCTTAATAATTTTTGCTTTTCTATAGCCCGCTTAATCTAGGACGATCTAAGGAAGCCTAAGCCATTCGAGCCGTCCCGTCCTTCTTGACTGGCAGATTCAAGTTTTATAGTCTTTTCCCTTTTCATTCTCGTCCAACTCTAGCCGTTGAAAGTAAGCCCAGGCTATTTCAGCTCCGGAAATCTACGAAAAAGCCCAACGCCACGTCTTATTCAACGTATTGTTCGACAGTGTAGGTTACCGTGTCATAACGTAAGCGCCAAAGAATACCATGCCTTAATAATTATAAAAGGTGAGGGGTAGCACTCCTTTGTAAATTCTAAAACTTGGTCTACAATAATATAGAATATTTATACAGCCTATTACCTTATCAACCGAGACGAAGTAAGCATGACTTATACTATGATTGTACTCATCAAGCGTAAAGAGGGCATGTCCTCGTCGCAATTCCGCACCCATTACGATAATGTCCACGTCCCTCTCTTAAAATCGCTCCACGGATCAACTATGGCCTCAACACACACACGTTACTACGTTTCTCGGGATGCAAAAGCCGAACATGAGTCTACTGATTCAACCGTGCCCGAAAAAACGACGACTCCAAACGAAGAGTTGCCTCCCACTATTATGTACCTAGGAAAATTGGCGGATATCCCGTTCGACGCATTTTCAGTATTGACCTGGGAGAACAAGGAATCAGGGGAAGCATTTATGAAAATCTTCCGTAGTGGAGGTGTGGCTGAAAAGGTAGCCGAGGATGAGGAAAAATTTATCGATCGGGAAAAGACGATGATATTTTCAGTTGCGGGCTCGACCACTACGGTATTTGGATAAATATGTTGAGACGGATTTCTATCTCAAATTCATTCATCAAACCTACCTAATGTAGTCTGACATTAATTTGACGAGTTTATCTACTATTATTATGATTACCGTGTCCTCGTTTTCCTTGATATTAGAGGTATACAGTACTTTATGATACGAAAGGTTCTTATATTTTGTTACACAACGTCCGATATTTTCCATATCTTTTACCATACATCAGTAGTAGCAAGCAAACTCCTGCCCATCTTCGTTAGGCTGCACGGCATAAGCGATAGTCGAGTTACATTTCCCAAGCCTTGATCGCTGCTGATCTACGAAGTTATCATAATCTCTGGTAACTCCGAACTTTTTCCATTTTATCAATCGCCACAGCTGTTTCCTCGTAAGCCCCCACTGTCTAGATCATACTTGTATTTGATAGCGAGGAATTGTCACAAGATGGGACCAAACAGCATGGAAATGACTTGATTTTTCTACGAGGACCTCTAACCTGGTTACGAGTATTTACGCCTATACATATGGAATGTTCTTTATTCTGGATACTTAATCTAGAATTCTAAGAGTACCCATCGTTTTGTAATTAATTCTATAAAGCTTTCTAGAAACTAGGCTAGTAGACGTCCGCTTCATTTAAATATGCGGTTCCGCCCGATGCTAGCCCCGTCAGCTTTGGATCGAACACAGCGGTGACCTTCCCCTGGCCGACGATGCTGGCATCAAAGTCGGCATGGTCATAGGTTCTATAAACTCATAAATAGGATAGGGCACTATATTGGTTGATTTTGAATTCATATGCTATCACGGCACTAAAGAGAATTACTGAGTCCAAATATGGATACAAGTGGACCATGGCCGCCCCTTTGTGTATATTTACTACTGACAGAGTGACGGTCGCCATCGACAACTATAAGATCACGCAAGTGAGCAGCTTTTTAAGCCTCGAAACTTATAACTATAACACCGGCACCGAGATCAATTGCTTTGCCTATTTAGTTGGGTGGTTCACGATCTCGGACGTTGATTCCCTTGATGCGATGTGCACACATAGCTAAAGAGCCTGCTCTCTCGATAGTTATGTTTTATGTAGGTCTATATTATATCTGCATGTCTACAATAGGACCCATACTAGCACCCAAAATGAAGCCCCCTTATCCATCACCGACTTCGACTTGGCATAACGATACATACGCCACCATCTCACCCCAGCGTTCCAAACTAAGCGCTACTTGTAGGGTGTTCACTAAAGCAGGTGTTGTTGCCAGTAGTCTACGAATTTACACAGGTAAGTTCTGGCTTATTGATCCCGTCGACCTCCTTGTTCGATTCGCCACGTTAGCCCTTCCTCTGGGCAGTAAAACTTTGACCCCTTGTACCCCTTACCCCTTGTACCCCTTACCCCTTGTACCCCTTACCCCTTTTTATTGTCTGGAAGGCTGACTGACTAACTTTTCATTTCTACTAGTACAACTTCCGCGACGGATCACGAGCATCTGCACTTCAACTCGACGATGACAAACAAAATTTCACCATCATGATTCTCCTCGTACACCCACTCAATATCAAAGTCCTCGCAAGCCACCTACAATACGAAACCTCGACCATAGCGGCCACAGATCCACTAGCCAGACACCTGAAACCCGGCGGAAAACACAACCCGACCGCACCGCAGACCCTCAGGTATCGCGAACCTGGAGAACGCCAGAAGATACGCACGCGAGACCGCTGCACTTCAGACACCTGTTCCACGATGCCCCGAAACATGGCCGGCGTGGTCGATCCCCAACTGCGTCTTTACAGTTGTCGAAACCTGAGGTATCTGCGACGCCAGCATTATACCGATCACTCCGGCGGACGAACCCACAGGCTACGGTTTAACGGGGCCGCGGAGATGGCGGCTGAGATAATTAAATCTGGCATGTGAGTAAACGGACGCGGTAGTAGGATTTGGGTAACGGGGCTGTAAGAGTTTCGGACAACTGCAATATATGTTGAAAATAGATCAAATTTATAGCAATAGCCCAGTATTAAATAGGTCCAAGTCTTCGTGCTTCAATAGAGTTACGCCCTCACTTCCTATCCGCATCCTTAAAGATATCAGGGGAAATGAAATGAGACAAATAACATAAGGATATCACATCTACCACCTACGAAGTGAACCTCAAATTACAACCCCTAACAGATGGAGCAACTCCGTTTCATTTCTATAAACCTTCTAAAGAAATACTAAGTATCCACCGACGGCGGACGAACGCGCGCCAGAGCCGTCGAGGTCTATGGTATTATACATATTGAATCCCAGCACGCGGGGGAGGGAAAAAAAACACCTGACGACAAAAAAATAAGTAATAGACGAATTGAAACAGCAGGCTCGTCAGATTCATGCAGTTTATGCAATGGTGGTATCATGTCTTTCTGTACAAACACAATGATATGCTCAGCAGCAAACAAAAGGAATAGGAGGAAAGGAACGCTCTCCCGTGCTCAAAAAAAGCAGTCCACCAGATGTAGAAAGGCTAATCAGTTGACGCTTTTTTCCGTCTGAAACAGTGATAATAGTATGGAAAGACCGGCTCTGGTATCTTCGTCTATAGTCCATCACTTCAACAAGGCTGGCGATGGTCGCTCGGCTCGTTCAGATTCCTTCTGCTTCGAGCCCTCATCTTCGGTATCGACCCAAAGTCGGATTTCTCATTAGGTTCCTCATCCTTCCAATATTACTTGCTTCTGGTCTTCGATATTCATGTTTCCAGTAAATGTAGTTAGTAATCCTCTGGCGCCTAACACCAAAACGCCAACACACCCAACGTTCCTCGACATCGCACTCTTACCTGGGGACTGGCGGTAAGGCTTTTCCAAGGCTTTCGCGACTGATCTTGCTCCTTAGAAACCTGAACCCACCACTTACTCCGCCCCTCTTTCGTTCTTCCTCGTATCCAGGCTCAGGTTCCAAGTAACTAGTCTTCGGCGGCGTTGGTGGGCCCCTACCTCCAATACCATGAGGACCTAAAGTAGTAAACCCATCCTGTCTCTCCGTTATCGATGGCGTGTAGGGCCGGGATTCACTAGCGCTATCGCCCCGGCTCCGCCCTCCAACTGAGCCTGCTTCGGCCGTCTCTTCAACAACAGGTAAAACAGCATGCGAGTTGGATCTCGCTCCTGGTGATACGGCGGTTGTAATCTTACGTTCCGGGACTTGTTCCTCTTTAGCAAGATCCTTTTCATTCTTTGTAGCCTTTTTCATGGCCTTTTCTACGGTAGGATTTGGCTCGGGCGAATTCGGGCTTCTCATACCTGGCGGTGCGGGAGGTAAATACGACGGTGCAGGCGGCGCGCTACTGGATCCAGGTACCTGTAAGGCTTCTTGTTTTGTTCGTTCCATTTCAGCTGCAGCAAGCGCAGCGGCAGCTTCGCGATCGTGCGCATCCCTTGCGGCCTCTTCTGGAGACATTGTGATACCAGACATAAACTTGATGAACCGCTCACCATACTCCTCGGGTGGAAGAGCAGAGATTTGGGTACGATCACTAGATAGGCCTTTCCAAAAATGCTCTATCTTCTTGATAACTCCGTACTGTAGAAAAGTTAGTTGTGAATTACAAGAGCGCGCTAATAAATGTGGATGAGATTGCAACTTACATGGGTCAAGCAGTCGATGACTCCAAGGTAGTAAACTTCTTCGCCCGCAGTGTTATCTTCGTGTGTTGCCCGTAAACCTCCATCATCACTGTAGAACATCCCACCTCGAGTATGCCCCTCAGCTAACTCGTCTGGCATTCTACTGCTGGTTTGGCCTACGGGTACAGGCCGCTCAGATTTAATCATTTGTCGCAACTCCCTCGCTTTGCGTGCATTTTCCAGCTTCGATGGCGTTCTCATGAGGACAGAGCTAGGATCGAACCCTTCTTCCGAAGGGCTATCCCCCCCAGGGTTAAATACCTGTAGAGTTTTGTCTCTAAGGTTCTCCTCATTTCCCTTTCGCAAGTCGTGGATGCCTATCAACAGCGAGTAATCCATTATCTTCAGCTTTTGCAGGAGTCGAACGTCACGCTCCAACTGCTGCAAGAACAGCTGCTTCTTCTGTATTCCTAGCTCGAGGTGGCGTTTTCGTCGAAGCCAGTTGAGGTCCTTCAATGTGGCGCGTGGATTTTTCTCGAGCTCTTCCTCTCGATAATCTCGTCCTACAGTGGAACCCTTGAGGTCAAACGTAGTGTGAATATCGCGGTGAGGAGGGAAGAGATTGTTCATGACAACAAAGTGAATCTTTTTTCCATATGGCATTTTGACGCGGTGCAAGCCATAGAACTGAGATAAGAGGGTGTTCGGGTTCTCTGTAACATGCTCGTAATAATCTTTCAAGACCTTCCTTAAAAATTTATGCTCTCCATGGTGGATAGTCTTGATGATATACTTGTAGTCTCTTGAGAAATAAAAGAAACTGCCACTCTTTCCCGGAGAACCGAGCTCGGATAGGATATATTTACCTGTAAGCGACATCAGGTAATCGGCGGGGTCCAACCTAAAGAGCGCACGAAGATGTCGGAAAACCCAGGGCGCATAATCCTTAAACTTAAAGTCGTACTTTGCCGAGGGAACCAACTCATTACCCGCACTGCTCTAGTTAGTATAGGGAACACAAGCTTAACTTTGGCGGAGACATACATGTCGAACGTCGATTTCTGCTTAGTTTCAAAGTCGGCATCGGTCAGGGGACGGTCGAGTTTGGCATTTGTACGCGAGACAGACACTCGAATACCAGTTAACATATTGTATGCTGTTGTCCAATTTGCGTGATTCTCGTCGACCTTGGTTCCAACCAGAACTCTGTCATCATCCTCTTCTTGCTTCTTTTTCTTTGCCCGTTTCTGTCGGTATGCTTCAGCCCACCTCAACGCGTCGTCATCTGGTAGTACTTCGTCACGAGGCACATCGGAGTGCAGGGAACGCGTATTCCGTCTTCCCAAATTAAGAGACCCTCGACGCTGCGATGACCCAGCAGCAGTAGGAGAGAATCTGCCAGTAGCATATACCGTATCGTTACTATCCCTTGAACCTCGGCTTGGTTGAGGCCTTGGCACCTCCAGCGTATGTCGATGTTTTAGACCAGTCGCAGGTGGTTGCAGTGCCGAAGTCGATGCGGAGGCACCGGTCGGCGGATAATGCGGAGGGGAAGAAAATCTCTGAGGCGACGGAGAAGTTCGTTGAGCTTGATCGAGATTAGAAGATGAAGGGTTAGGTAGCAAATAATTCGAAGCCGAATTCTCCAGTGATGTTGAACCAATATTATTGCCGTACACACCGTCCGTGCCTTGAAAATCACCGTTATTTGATGACCTCCGTGGTAGTTCGATAGGATATTGTGAAGAAGTGCGAGATTCCACCGAAGACCGCTTTATTTGAGATTCGGACATATTTTTACGCTGGTTTTCAGATGCCGGCGACATGCCATTAGTAGTAGGTTGGCGCTCGGACGAGCTCCTTCCAGACAAAGGTCCTTTCATGTTTGAATAATACTTGGAGTCTTGGCCAGCCGAAGCCACACCGTTCATGTCTCTACTTGACCTGCCATTGGGCAGAGGTGTCATGCTAGAAGGGGGTAGCCCATCCGCGTTCATTCGTACCTGCGGGCCAGAGCTGTGTGACGAATGTGAAGATGAATTGTCGTCGAAGCTCTCATTCGTGTCAATTGCCGTAGACAACGGTCTTGAAAGAAAAGACCCCTTAGAATCAGTCAACTTGTGGAAATCGGGTTCGTGATTATTTCGAAGATGAACGACGCCGGAGTTTTGATAATAAATAGGCGAGTTTTCGTCGTTTACGAACGTAGGCATATTTCGCATCCGCAGATTGAGTGTCGTTCGAGTGGGATTTCGAACCAATGCACCTGAAACCCTCACCCACGACCTGATGTCTTAAGACGATGGTTATGTTGGTCGGGCGAGGGATATGCGGAGGACGATATAAGGAAAAAATCAAAACAGATATTATTTAGCGGGTTTCCTTTGGGTTTGATGTCGTCGTCGCTGTAATTGGTATTGGTGACACCTGAGGATAGGGGGTAGATTGAAAGATGCGAGTGCAAGATTGTGTTGTCGTGTAAACCGACAAAGTTGGCAGCTGAGTGGGTGGATACGGAGGTTGGGCACCATGCGACCCTATAATTGGCTAGATTAACGTGGATAACTATGAGTGGATACGTCCTTAATTGCATCGACTCAGCCACGACCCCCCCGGAGCCTTGTCTTTGCTTGTCTCGCATAAGTCAATGGGAAGAATATTAATACCTTAATAAGGTTTAGCGTCGATTATAAATATAAATCGTTGGAATACGGTATCCAAATACGTGCGTACGTAGTATCTATGCTACACTATCGAAATGGAACTGCTTTATATTAAAATAGATAAGTCTGTTTTCTAATATCAATGCGATTCGATCTATCAGATAATATTTATTTCAAGTGTTTGTATTTAAGCTAGTTACACATATTTTATATCATCCCTTTCTAAGTCATACCTAATAGGGTTAGCTTACTCAAATATTCGCAAGTATCCCGCAGAAATGCTGCGCTCTCTCTGTGTTATTGCATTAAGCATGCAGACGTGTCTTGCAGTGGCAGAGTGGCTCACGAGGAGAGAAAGAAAAAAAAAATTAAATCCAGAAGACGCGATGTGGATATGCAGTAATTGGGATCCATAGCTGTCCCGCATAATTGGGCTAGTGGACCCTGAGCCAAAAAGGAGGATAGATGGACGCTACGATTCGATAATCACAGCGATTTTTATCCATTTCGGTATACGGCATTATGTCATATTCAACGGAACTTACGCCTATTTCTATGATTTTCTCTTCCTCTAATCTATTTTTTTTTATCTGTCCGTATGAGGTAGCGAGCATCAGCAAAATCATTAATCTCCCTTTTTTTTTCTTATCCTTTATTGGTTTATAATTGCGTCTCAGCGTTAGTTCTTGGAGTCTCAATCTCAGTTTCATGCAATCTCAAAAATCGAAAATACCAAGAACTTAACTTGCCGACCTGCCGGCCGAACCCTGTTCACACAGTACATAACATATGGAAGATTGGAACAATCAGTTTTAATGCGGCTCCAGCCACGATTTCTAAGAATTTTAATCAAATATTCAGCTTGACCAGGTGTAACCCGGCACCCTCGGGTTCCCTACTTCTCGCCAATCTCTTTGCCGACTCTCCGAGACAACTCACCAACTAAGATTCTCCAACGATCTTCAACTGTAACGTGCCGTATTGCCAAAGAGAATATCAAAGCTGACGAATATATTGAGACTTACATATCAACCGTATTCAAGACACGTATGTACTTCTGATTTAGAAGGAGTTATTCGTAACCATTACACGATAATATATATACGTATAAGCCCTCTCCGTGCAACGATGTCAGGGTTAATACTGCCGTCTATGCTACATACTGACACTTTTAAACGGCAAAACCCTACCCCATCTTATCACAGAGCCGACCTATCAAACCAGCGTCGCCAGTGTTATACATATAGTTATCTTGTAGATCATGCCGGTCATGCATAGAAAAAGGTATTACGGTATGAAGACTCCGTTGTCATTGCCCCGAACCCCATATCGAGTAATGCTGGATGTCTCCTTTCAATGTAGCCCGCCCGCAATTAGGGAGCCCAAAGTCACAAGCAAAATGTTGGAAGCATCTAAATCTAAAATCATTTGATTGATACACGTCTCGATAGCGTGTATATCATAGCTTAGATCATCATATCATAGAGAAATTAACACACGCATAACCCCACGATTGGCTTAAGCGTTTGTCATAGCCGAGAAGACGCAAATTTTAGACGAAAGCTTTGTAGAGATTGCTAAATCTTACAAATTCATCGGCGGCCTCACGTACCGGCAAAGAACAAGTTAGCTCCCGCAAACCTGACCCTCAACTACTATATAGACTTAGTTATATATAAATAGAAATCCAGCAGAAGGGAGAAGATCAATGTGTATCCTTTTTCCCAAGCCATAACTCCTCTTAATGCCTTTGGATTATGTACAAGATAATACATGTTAATTCCAATATCTATCGGATTAGGGAATTCGGCTTATGTCTTTGTAGATCCTTCGACTACCATCTTATTCGCGCCCTCTTGTTGTAATTTCTCCAGTGTCTTCTTCTTTTGGTGCTCGGCAACTCGATATCGCTTGAAGTAAGTTACCTACAAATATGCAACGAAAGTATACGTTAGCTATGACCTAACTATATATCGTAATGCTCTATTAAGAGGTAGCAACACACCCAGGCGCTGGCGCAGTTCTGTTCGAAACCCTTATTCTCCTGCGCACATTGCTTCTCAGCAATTTTCTTGCCGTCGCCGTTTAGCGAGTCGATAACATCGTGCTTGTCTAGACATTTGTAGAATTTGTCGCGCGCATCCCAGCATAACTGTCGCTCTGTTCTATCTGGCGCACGCGCACCAGTGCGTACTTCCTCTTTCCGCTTCTCGTCAGGGGAATTGAAGAAACCGAAGACGCCCATGGTAGTAGTTATTTAATTCCGAGTAATAGAGAGCTTGATTATGGAGTTAAGAGGTTTCTTAACACGAATTAGCTGGTCGTATTTGTCGAATGACGTCGTCTTTTAGATTTGTGAAAATAAAGTTCTGCGGGACGAGCTCGACTTATCGACTATCATTATCATATTGAAGCTATCAAGCTGAATGCCGATAGGTGAAGCTCTTCTAATTATGTAATACATCTAAGTACCCAGGTACCCACTGAAGCTTGAAGATTACCTAACAACGCTTAGCGGCTCAGAATTAAAGTTAGATGAGGAGCCCCTGCGTCACCCTTTTTCCCCATCATATGTATGAGCCGCCGATTGATTTCTGAACAGTCGCCAGACAAGCAGACGAGGCGCATGACTTAGCCTAACTTTCGTCAAATTAATAATACTTACAACACCAATCCTCCTTACGACTTACCACTTCGCGCCTTATACTTCTCACCTAATAACCATACCTAGGTGCCTAATACAATAAAATATATCGAACCATCGAAACCCGCATTTAGAAATGATAGCCTTATAGCGCGACGTCGAAGCGAATAATATCCAACTTCCTTTCCATCCACTCATTCAAACACTTTTTTTGGTACTATCAAATAAACTCAACACTACGATTTCACACCCATTTACTTCCCTTTTCCTTTATTCCAAATCTCGAAAATGGCTAGACGAAGGAGACCTCCGCGGGCTGGCGCCGTGAACGAACTACCCCCTCTACGAATTCTCGGCCAGATCGCGGCGGTACAGAGCATATACTACGCCGCTGCGCTTGTCCTAATGCTCTTCACATCTCTAGTCGCCGGGACTCGATTTAGCTTAGATCTGGTTTTCGGTTGGGCAGAACTGCGCGGCGACACGACGCAAGGGTGGTTGATGGGATTTATCTGGCTATGTTGCGCCGGTGCTGCGTTGGTGCCCCTCGTCCTCAGATATAGGCAGAATAATACTAATGATATGATAATACAGCGTAGTAGCTATGATAGCCTTCATCGGCCGGTCGAAGCTCGTAGTCGATTTTGCGCTTACCCTCCATTTCATCCACCTCGTCATCGTGACCTTTTATACGGGCATATTACCGCGAAACGTTGCCTGGTGGGCCACAGCAATAGTTTCGAGCGCCGTAACCGTTGTGGGAGGTACTTATGGTTGCCAGTGGAGAGAATTGCGACCCATCAGTTTTGGAGGCAACGCGAAGAATAATAATACGGAGGGCGGTACCGCGGCTACAGCGCAGAACGGGGCTGCGGGAAATCAAGGTGATGAAGAGATGGGCTTCTCTAGGGGCCGTGGAAGGGGTAGAGGGAGAGATGGGGTTGGAGAGTATGAAATGGTTGGCATGAGTGGCGATGGGAGTCGATAATGTTTTACCCTTTTTGTGGGATATATCGGTCCATAATCAGTAGGACCTGTATGAATACTGCATGCACGGCGTTGGGTTTCTTCGAAGAATAAATAAAAACCTCGAGGCTTGGAACTACTCATGTTCCGTGCCATGGTATTATATTTGGTTGTGTTGGATATTATAGACGAAGGCATGACGTATATACACATGGGCTTATAAGTACAGTATCTTTGAATACTTGTCCTTATCCCTCTCGACTTACAAGACCAAGCCCGGGTTCACTCATGGTACTATCAGTGGCCAGTTCGAAGATTAACTGGAAGTAAAACCGAACCTATGGGAACTTAGACAGGTACTTGAATTTCGACCCAGAGCAACGGATCCGTAAGCCTATGAAGTGTCCACTTGTCTCCGGTCTATTCCCCGTTCACTCAAATTTGAAGAATCGAGTTTCAAATTAGCCCAATAAAAACTAATGAGATGAAAAACTTTCCTCTTAGCTCAGGCTCAATAAATGCCGCTGTCAAAATAAGGTGTTTCCTATGAGTTGTTACCGCAAAAGCATCCAATGGCCCCCAGGTCATAAACGGAAGGGTAACCGGAACCCGCCTATAACCGACGGTGTTGTCTATTTAGGTGTTTGTATCGTTTAGTTGAAGTCCCAGTAAGTACCTTACGTAGAACCTATTACCGGAGCAAACCTCATTGCTATTATGAAAGATAAATACTTGAGATGTGAAGTCTGTCTTGTCTGCCTATTGTCGTCTGTCTTCGTTCACGCGCCACATTCTGTTAGAAAATTTCCCACCATGGCTACGATCGTATTAGGTGTTCAATGGGGAGAGTAAGAATCCTGCGTTCTGACTTTTACTTATTTATTTATTTATATATATTTGCTTGCTAACCTAGTTTATATGTCTAGTGAAGGAAAAGGTAAGTCAGTTGTTAGTTACTGATTTACCCACAAGACATCACCTAACAAGATGACTTTTTGTCAAACGCCTCTCTTAAGGCAAACTTTGCGATATCCTCAGCTCCGATGTTCAGATTTGCGCTAGAGCCACCGGCGGGCGAAACTGTGGTCACAGTAAGATGTCCCTATTCGTATTCTCAGAAATAAAAGTACATACTAATACGCATGTGGTCTCTTCTAGCTGTCGTTGCAGCAGGAGTATCATACGACTTGTAAGAATCACAATTCACTTCATCTGTTTAACGCTACTGACTGTTTAAAGCCACATGCTACCCTCGGGCCTACTTCATCCCTCAACTATAAATATAATCGGACCCGGTGTTGTCCTGCACGTACCTACTTTCTTCTCCGAGCTCGCCAGCGTCGAGGGGAAAGGAATCGTAAATGCCCAAGAGAGACTCAAGGTCTCAACGCGGTGCGCACTAAACCTTGATCTCCATGCAGCCGTAGATCGTCTTCGTGAAGGGCAGCTTGGAAAGAAGAACATAGGTACTACAGGTAAAGGTATTGGTCCTGCTTACAGCTCAAAGGCCGAGAGAAGCACCGTAGTTCTAGCCGATCTACTTGACGATGATGAATTCGGAGATCGAATCAGGGAGATGGAACAGGACTATAAACTGAGATTCGGCGGGGACTTAGCCGGATATGACGTCGAAGCAGAAATCAAAGAGCTCGAGGTAAAGATATTACCCCTTTGACTATACTCTTCTAACCCCCTAGAACTTCCGTGAGAAACTCCGCCCCTTTTCCATAGACGACGTCGAATTCCTCGAAGAGGCCCAAGAAAAAGGACAGAAAATCCTCGTCGAAGGCGCACAATCAGCCCTGCTAGACAACACATACGGAACCTGGCCGTACGTAACGTCGACAACCACCACCTTCGGCGGTGTAATGGCCGGACTGAATCTCAACTACCGAAAGGTAGATTCCGTGATCGGCGTCCTGAAAGCATACTGCACGCGAGTCGGATGCGGCCCATTTCCCACCGAGGACTTCGGCGCCGTCAACACCAAGCTGCAAGAAACAGGCCACGAGTTCGGCGTCACCACAGGACGCAGACGCCGTTGCGGCTGGCTGGACCTAGTCTCGGCAAAGTACTCCAACAGCGTCAACCACTACGACTCTTTGAACCTCACGAAACTCGACGTCCTCGATACGTTTGAAGAGATCCAGGTAGCGGTAGCTTACAAGCATCCCGATACCGGCGATCTCATAAACGCTTTCCCCGCCAGCGCGAAGCTCCTGTCCAGAGTCGAGGTCGTGTACAAGACCATGAAAGGCTGGAATACTACGACGACCGGCACCAAGAAATTCGACGACCTACCCAAGGAGGCCCAGGACTACGTCACATTTATCGAAGACTTTCTCGGCGTTAGGATTAAGTGGATTGGATGCGGACCCAAGCGAGAAGACATCCTAACTCGCTAATTTTCCAGAAACTCTATTTTCTATCATCAGTCTCTTTCTGTTCCCTACTTGCGATAACCTAATAGACTGTAGTTCGTAGATAGTCAGGTGGAAGTGTCAGACATCCCCTAACATAAAACAGTGGCTCCTTTATCTAACTTACAGATTTACTTATGAAAATTATTTTCTCTTAGAAATTAGCCAGCTAAACTTGTACCAGATCATAGCATTACGGAATCCTCTATCACAAGAGCGAGTATTCTTATAGATATGGACTTATTAATGATAGAGGGACGAAAATTGGTAGAGTGGGATAACCTCTATAGCCACTGAGAGGATTGCTTGACTCGGCCGGAGTAACTTGAGATTAGCAGTCTTAAAGAATTCTTAGTTATTTAGATAAGAGAGAAGATGTTTCGGTGTTTCTAGTTCTTTGTTCTCTTCATTACCCTAAATTTACGTGTGAGCAATGACAACTACCTATGAATGATGCTGACTACCTGGGTATGTAGAGTTAAACCCCTGAGCAAATATTTAACTCGGAGATTTAGTTCAACATGAGATACTGTAAAATCTAACATGTGATGAAAAGTTTCATTGGGATGGCGATTCACCTGGGTACCTATATAAAGATCAATATGACATATCATTCTACCCTATTTTAGTGCCTAAGTCTATGTATCCGCAACCGCAAAGTCAAGCCTAACCATCAATCTAAACCAGCTCCTGATCATTGCTCTTCTCCCTATCCCCGCAAATGCCTTGCCTTATCCTATCACTATCCCGTAAACTATAAGCTACTTTCTCCAGTAGATACCGCACTTCTGATTGCCTTCAGTTTGTGTATAGTCTCATCCGTATTTTATCTCGCCAGTGTTAGCGGTGGCGGAAGGCTATCTTGGCTGCTCCGCCTAGTTTCAAGGCAATCGATAGGACAGAAAGGATCCGAGTTTCCAGGTTCGCCCTGAGACTCCGACTAGGTATCTGGGTGACAGGAATCGGGTTCCGCTACTTTATCTGGCTGACCTGTCGCTACCGTATAGTCAACTATAGCCCCTACGGCCGGGATATCGCTTTCTATATTGTCGATAGAGCTTGGGTGGATACTATATGTTTCTCTTGGAGTCAATGGTACTATTAGGTTGGAGGATGTAGTCGGAATTAGAAAAGTATACCCAAGCCCAAGGGGCATATTTGGTGGTAATGGTTCGTTACTAGTCTTAGACATTTCACCAATTGACGAGACACAAGCCGGAATCACATCTTCTACATCCGAAGCCAAAGAACCTGGGAGTCGCTGCAAGGTACCGAGTTCGTTCCCAGAGTCAGCTGGGAGAAGGACAGGCTCAAGAGGTTCAGACCTAGGGAAATATTCTTGGGCATATTTTAAAGTATCCCCAATGCATGAATCGGATTCTTCTTGACCGTTGCGGCTGATTATCAACGGCTTAGGATAGAGACTTCCCTCTGTTCCTTTCCTAGGAACACTTGAACATTCTGGTAGAGTTTCAATATGAGTAACCGAAATTGGAAGACCTTCATTGAATTCTTCGGTAGATTCCGCTGGTGACGCAATATTATCTGGTATTGTAACTTCCGATAAACGACTACGCTGTGCCCTTCGTCGTTTTCCGCGCCGCTGTGACGATTTAGACACTGGGCTTATAACGCCAGATTGTGGACTCGACGACAAGGGCGTATTGAATGGGATAGTTGGAGGCATATCAAGGGCTGCGGAGGTTGACGAAGATATCTCATTGTTAGGACTCACGGTGCCACTATAGAATACTGTATGCGAAGTAGGAGAATGTCCCGATGCGCCCGTTGATGAACCAGACGTTCTGGAGACTAAGTCAAGACTCCTCTTCGATGAAAGCCGGTCGAGTTCCGCTGTAGCAATCATCACACTAGCTATAGCTAATGGGTCGATGTAACGCCCAATATCTTGAGAGGTGCGTTTAGTGTTAGTAGTATTAGACTCAGGAGTATTAAACAATGGACTTTCCTCTCCAGATGGCGGCCAAGTACCTACGGGGTCCCGAGCCAAGAGCCGGCGTTCTTTACTATGCCGTGGAGCAGGAAACTCAGATCGAATAGAAAATGTTGAAGAGCCTGAGCGTCTAATCCTCTCTCCAAGAGACCGGAATTGATTTGTGACAATATTACGGACACGTAAATGATGCCGATGTCGAGTTTTGTCAACCTTGGGACGTAATTCATGGGCTCGCGCTTGGGTGTCTTGACCCTAGACGTATAACAGGTAGTTAGTAGGTAGAGTTGTCGATATATAGGAACATATACCTCTAATCCTGATAGCGTCCTCTCAAAATCATCCAATCGTCGACAAAACTCCGGGCATGAGTTGTGAGTACGTCTCTGAATAACGTGAAACTGAGCATTGGGCTGTGAAAGGTATAAACATGACTTGTCATTGGAGACATCCTCGTTACCACTGCTGCTGCTATCCCCAATTTTATTATTATCAACTGGGGAGGGATCGATTAGAAGCGTACGACGAGGAAATCCAGAGTTTGACATTTCTGATACATCGTGTTTCCGACGGGTTTTTCTTTTTCCCTAGCTTTTCTCCCAGTCTATGGATTCAGATGTGTTAGATTTGAGCTTCTGAGAACCGCCGGATAGGTCTGCACTTCGGCTAGACTCTTTTAAATCACTCAGCCCACCCCGGAGTAGCTTTGAAAGCTTATCGCTTTCAGAACTAAGTGGACCATCCAGGCCAGTCCCGGACTGCGCGGTCGATCGGTTTTGCCTGGGAGGCTGTAGTACGATGCTTGGGCATGTGAAGCTTGGACCTACATCGACTTTACCCCCTGAGTCCGGCGCGTCTGGAGAAGCAGCCGGGGTGGTTTGCCCGATCAAGCTGGTTTCTTCATTTAGACAGTTAGAACAAGAAACACCCGACAGCCAATTTGAAATTAATTCGTCATCCGCGCTATGTTCCCATTGGTTATTGAGGTCCTCAGAGCCGACTGAATTCGGGCTGACTGGCGTAAGGGGTTGATCTTTACAAGCTTCGGGGGCCCGACGCGCCTGGCAAGAGGAAGAATCCCCATCGATTTTAGGTGAGAACAGCCAATGCTCGTCCTCGAATTCTCGACTGTTCTCATCCCATCGTTGTTCAGCGGGGGCCGATTTACACGATTTGCAGCTATGAGAGTGACATCTATGAGGATGACATTGGCCGCTATGGGAATGTCCTGTTGAGTTAGGAGATAATAAATGTTGCTCTGCGGTGAGCAGTGAATACCCATAATCTATAGCTTGCATAACGAGGGTATCATGGCTCTTCGGGAGTTTTCTTCGCAAAATAGGAGCTGATATATTTGGAGGAAGACGACAGGCGATGGCGAATACGGAACCAAAAGGCTTTAAAAATGTATCGCCACTTGGTGAAAACGGAGGGCATGATTTTAGGTATCGGTTTAGATATAGGATAGCTAAGTTGATACGGAAATAAAAATGAGAGAAGGATTAGGAATGACGTTGTTATAAGTGAAGGTGTAGATGATAAGTTGCTAATGAGGATCTAATTGAAGTAATAAAACTATACCTAATGAAATTCTCCAGTTGCTTCCACGGCACGAAAACGGTATATGTGCTACTTTCCTCTTCAAGAACCTCGGAGTATTAGAAGGTTTGGTCTTTGAAACGACCTTTCTACTTACTCCTTACTTTAGAGTTTACTTCTTACCTTGGAAGTATACCTAACATTATGTACCCAGGTACTTGAGGTAGTGAGTGTTGTGTTGTGCATTTTCCGGTGTTGAGCTTAAATCATTAGCGTAAGAATCCGCCGTTAACCGAAGTTACTACCGAATATTCCCGCCGCTCTAGGAATGCCGAGGGCCGCCGAACGGGGGCGCCATTCCACTAATTTTTGTTTGTACCTAATTCATTTGTTTTCGATCTCGGCCCCGCAACCGCCTCCATCATCGCCATGGATAGCTTCTGGTAGGGAATCCTCATTGCGCTCACCTCAATTCTTCCTAATTGAGAGTGCAGTCATGCTTCGTTCGGTAATATCTCGCTTTTCGAGGCCATTGGCCGTGTCTACAAAGCAATGTCGGGTCTTTAATAGAAGCTATGCTTCTGCCCCAAAGTCTTCGTTTGATTGGGAAGACCCATTAGCGAGCAAGAGCTTGCTCACAGAGGAGGAATTAGCTATCTCGGAGACCGCAGAGCGATACTGCCAAGAGCGATTACTACCGCGAGTTTTACGTGAGTTATTGTAGTGACAGTTCGCCTGTTATATAGTCCAATAGCTTACCCGCTGACTTTATTTCTCAGAGGCATATCGTGACGAATACTATGATCCAGCTATCTTGCTCGAAATGGGTGAACTCGGCCTCCTCGGCGCGAATCTTCAAGGCTACGGTTGCGCCGGCGCATCGACTGTAGCATCGGGCCTAATTACTCGGGCCGTTGAACGAGTTGACAGCGGGTACCGATCTGGCATGTCGGTTCAATCCTCGCTAGTTATGGGTGGGATTTATGAGTTTGGTACTAAGGAGCAGAAAGAGAAATATCTGCCCGAGATGGCAAAGGGTAAACTTCTTGGAGCATTTGGACTCACGGAACCCAATCACGGTAGCGACCCGGGATCAATGGAGTCGACGGCGCGACCGCACCCAACGAAAAAGGGTTATTTACTTTTAAGTGGTTCCAAAACTTGGATCACCAATTCACCTATTTCGGATGTGCTTCTGGTATGGGCGAAGTTACAGGAGACTGGCAAGATCAAGGGATTTCTTATAGATAAAAAGGATTGCCCTCCCGGCACCCTGGAGACGCCGGCTATCAAGAATAAGACCGGACTTAGGGCCAGTATTACGGGCATGATTCATATGGATAATTGCCCGATACCGGAAGAAAATATGTTCCCTGATGTTGAGGGCTTGACTGGTCCCTTTACATGTTTAAATAGCGCTCGGTATGGTATTTCCTTTGGCACTATGGGCGCCTTGGAAGACTGTATTGCTCGGGCACGGGGATATGCTCTGGAGCGGAAACAGTTCAAGAGTAACCCTATTGCCAAGTATCAGTTAGTGCAGAAGAAGCTGGCGGATGCTGCGACGGACGCTGCATATGGCGTGCTCGCATCGATACAGGTTGGTAGGCTTAAGGATGAAGGGAAAGTTACACCGGATATGATTAGTATGGTAAAAAGACAAAATTGCGACCGTGCGCTTGTGAACGCGAGGGCATTGCAAGAAATATTCGGGGGTAATGCGGTTAGCGATGAGTATGGAATCGGAAGGCATGTAGCCAACCTATTTGTGACTCAGACTTATGAAGGACAGAGCGATATTCACAGTGAGTTAGCCACCATAAAACTGATGACGTTTGCTAACCTGGTATAGGCCTCATTCTCGGAAGAGCCATAACTGGGCTCCAGGCCTTTGTATAACAACATAGCTATTGAGTGTTTAGCAAATTATTTTATGAAGCTAATTTGGAAGGGATTTGAGCATTTCCAATATAAGGCAGTCATAAATATTAGCTACAGGCCTTTGTTTATTAGGTTGAAATAGAGTAGAGTCAAGACAATCTTGGAAGACATCTGAGCAGTCCCAAACAAGTTATAACGCGGGATCACATTACTCCAACTTCTCGGAGAGCTTCGGCAAACTAAAGTAAAGTATATACTGTTATTCAGCATGAATAATGTGAAGCGTGATAATTGCTGACAGCTGAGGCAAAAACGAGCTGTAAGTGGTAGAGATAGGGAAGTGCAGGCACGGGTAGAAGACCTAATAGGTTAGGATTGGATAGTACGAGTGGCGGTGTGGGGACCTGTGTGCTTCCGTGTAACCCAGACCAACTAGACAAGCCTAATGCGCCGTCTCTTCGGGCTCAAAGGGAGTAAAACGGTTCCTTCCAATTGGTTCAAACAGGGTTTGTCTTGCCGATTTTGTGATTTTGTCAGACTCATCAGGTACCAGTCAGTTCAGTGTACATCCAGTATAAAAACCAGGTAGCACCGCATAATAGTGAAAGCTAAGCCACCCTCAGCCACTCCTTTTTAGAGAAGTTACAACAAGAACCTGCAAGACCTGCAAGACCTGCAAGACAGCTGCAAAATTGATTGGACTGATGAAAAAAAGGTGTTAGCGCCTACCGTTTTCTTTATGACTGGTCTGTGCTGACCTAATTATTCCCATTTCCATTCATTCCGTCACCTGAAAGACTTGCCTGACTTTCCCTTTTCCCCCGCTACCAAAACCCTTTCGTATCTACAGTCACCATCAAACAATCATTCCGACAACCATAATCATAATAACAACGACACTAAATCCTGACCTCATTCATATCCTCAACGCCGACCGTAGTCATCCGGGATTTCACCCTCTGGTACGTTTATCATTTGTCATTTATAAAAAAAACCCTTTTTCTTTACCGTTACAAACTTTTACATTTATTTCTCTATCCATTTCTCCCGCATTCCATACTGACCGCAAGTATAAGTAACTAGTTGATCTCTTCAGGAGAGATACCCGCTGTCAACCAAAACAAGAACCCGCCAACTCACAACTCACACCTCTACGAAATGGCGTTGAAGCGAATCAACAAGGAGCTCACAGACCTGGGCCGGTATGTCGATTTTTTATTGTTCTTATCATGGTAAATGTTTGTTTGGCGATGGTACTTGGTTTTGTATCCTGAACGAGCCCAAGGTGGGGCTACCATAGAAAGGCAGGGCGGGGATCTTGATACAATACAGCCTCATCAAGGAAAACTTCACACTTGTTCACTATCGCCAGGGATTGTTTTTTACTAGGAGGATATACTTTTATCATTTTGCTAATATTCTCTCTCTTAGTGACCCTCCTTCATCATGCTCCGCTGGTCCTGTCGGCGAAGATTTGGTAGGCATCATCTTTCCCCCGCTAGAAAAATGATAAGCGTCGATACTGTCTATCCGTACTATCTACCCGCCGCATAGCTCGGTCGGGCACACACCTGGACCATATTTCTGTTAGGAAGCCTCGCATCATTAACTATTACTAACATTTTGTTTTTCTGTGTAGTTCCACTGGCAAGCGACGATCATGGGACCTGTAAGCTATTCCTCTAATCTCCTCGCCTTTCTTATTCCTTTGCGCGCGCATGCTGCCGTACATGCTATGGGCTAGTACTTTGCTAGTGGTGGCTCTTTAACCAAATTTGGTTATATATTGTAAATTAGTTCACAGTACTAACTAGACGTCATAGGGTGACTCGCCATACTCTGGAGGTGTCTTCTTTCTCGCAATCCACTTCCCGACAGACTACCCGTTCAAGCCTCCTAAGGTCAACTTCACAACTCGTATCTACCACCCGAACATCAACTCTAATGGCAGCATCTGCTTGGACATCCTGAGGGACCAATGGAGCCCGGCGTTGACCATCTCTAAAGGTAAATGTCGTATGCTAACTTTGAGACATATTTTGGTTCTAACCTTGCATAGTGCTCCTGTCAATCTGCTCCATGCTTACCGACCCCAACCCCGATGACCCTCTTGTACCCGAGATCGCCCACGTTTACAAGACCGACCGGGCAAGATATGAAGCTACAGCCCGCGAGTGGACTCGCAAGTATGCCATCTAAGATAACGAGTAAGGAGAATTCGCTGGCGAAGAATGACGCTTGGCATCGGAGGTAGTGAGCATAGCACTTATCGGTAGTGATACTGGAAGGGACATGGATTTTTTCCTTCCAACCTAGGCAATACGATCTGCATTCACCAGTGTCTGTCCATTCGTCGTTATGGTTTAGTGTGCCTCTTCGATGAACATTAGAGCACATGCTTTCGGAAGTGGAATGAGAATGACTTGCTAAGGAGGATGAAGTTCTACGAAAGACATGATATGTTGGAGTGATCTGGAGGAACTCTCTGGCTTTACATTTTAGTCCTCCTTTACATTCATCACAGATTTGTTTTAATGCATTCACGTTTCCCTTTTCAATTTCCCATATAAAATCCCGTATAAACACTTGTGAAGTTTATTAGTAAGCTCTAGGGCCTATTATGGCCTGAATAGTCTGAAGAACTCCTCAGATTTCTATAGATGCTAGGTATTACAACTAGTGACAACTAACAACCTATAGGATTATGAATGGCAGCTAATGTCAAGCCTCGAGAAGGATTATTAGGGTTTGCCATTATAAGTCGAGTCACCTGTAACGTTAACGTAAAGCCAACCAATCCAAGATGCCAGGATTAGCCCGAGTCAAGTTTTTGGGGGCTTTTTTTTTCTTTTTCTTCAGTACCTAGTAAAGATATTTTAGAATACGGTGTTTCGATTTGTTGTTTAGGTGCATGTGATAGTTAGAGGAAGTGAGATCTATGAAAACGTGGCGTATGCATTTACCCACATGCACCCCTGATTTTAGCCGCCGAATCCAGGTACATAGACAAGTATAGACAAGTAACTATATAAACAATAACTAACTAGTTTTATATCTAACTTATGATTTCACCGCCGGTCATACGGTGATGGTGTGTTGGTTTAAATAGTAAGACACTTGTTTGGGTATATCGTTGCACCTACATGATCCTGCCTTAAGTGAGGGAGGTACAAATATAGACGTCGAGGGGATATTTCGATATCCGGATTTGGGATGTCTCCGGGTTGTAGGATCGGGAGGGATTCGTTCGGTCTTTTCTAGCTTAGATTCGTGCGGCGTTAAGTCATCAGGACGTTGAGGTAGAGCGAAAGATAGGCGATACTGAAATCTAGAAAAGAAATTTGGGAATACGAAAGAATATCGATCTGATGCGCGGGATATCGTGGTCTATGTGGGCATATATAGATATGCGATCTTTTACTACTTGATGAGATCTACTCTGGGATCTAGCCGCATCGTGTGACGGTAAGGATGTTTATTTGTAAACTACCTATCTAGGTAGGCTCGAGTTGAATTAAATCGTCACTAGGTTGGTGATGTGATCATTTATTTATTAGTTGCCTGTTTGCCTCTAGAGAAATAATCTAGTGGTTACATTTTCGTTCGACCCGCGCCGTGAGCGGCTTTCGCTCGCGTCAAGCGGCTGATGAGACTAAGCGTGGAATTTTTAATATATATTCAAGCTTAGCTGATGTGTGTCTAGTGTAATGTTGCCAAAATTGTATGGCGCTTCCTTGGTATTCCCCCTAAATATAGTATTTTTAAACAGTTACTAATAAGTTGTAACTATTGTAAAATGTCTAAGGATCCCATTCATCACAGAGAAACCAATTTTGTTTACTAAAGGATGTATCGATTGATCATATCATGATGGTGTGAATAATACTTTTAACAACCTGCAAGATCCCAAAGAAGAAAAAGTGAAGCTTCTATTTGATTCATCCACGTCGTGACATGTACTCATGGTGGGTTAGGCATAATATTCCGCTGGCGCTTTGCTCCTTTTGCTACGGGGCCCTTGGTAATTCAAGTCTCGAATGTTGTCTAAGGACCCCTGACGAAACAATCTGAGGCACAGGCGCCGGGGGGATATTACGAATACGGACCAATAAGGAATCAGGTATCTTCCTCGACTTCTCCACATTCCAAACCGAGTCCAAGCTTGATCCCCCTCATATTCTTTTCCTTTTCATCTTGTACCTCCTTCCACCAAGTTGACCTCCGCCCCCCCAGCTACGATAGTTCTAGCCTGGCCGAGGATTGCGCGGGCCCTTTTGTGTCTCTCTCTTGTATCGAGGCGTGTCGCCGCGATGGAAGTGGTGCCATTACCCACCTCCCTATCCTGGACCTTGACGAGGATCCGAACATCAGACAGTCCTGGCTCGGCAGAGTATGTCATGGACGAAGATTCTTCGATGAATACTTTCGATAGCGGCAACAAGCGTTGTTCTTTTCACCAGGTAGGTAATTTTTCTATTATATGAACACTTCTATTTATTTATTTATTTATTTATTTATTATCATTTCTGTCATCGTATAGATGCAAAATTCTCGGACCTTGCACCCAACTCCGTTAGTCCAATTCAACCTAGAAACGTGGACGTCCTGAGCCTCCTTCGCACTTCAATTGCCTCGAAACCGTTTGCGGTAAGGCTGTAACCGCTTGTCGCTTGTCGGCCAGATCGAGGACCCATCTGTCTAATAACCCCTGATAAATGTTACATGTACCTGGTTGCATGTGCCTGAATATACTACCATCATAAGTTACCGATACATAGTTTCATACTTGTCTTCCCCTTATCCTCTCTTTTACTAAACCCCCCAGGGTCACATCATTCATATTCTTCTCCCCCCCTGGCAAATTGTCAAGGTCCCTTGTACCTAAGCTTTCTAGAGAATTTCGCGGCCTATAGAGCTATAGCAGAATTGACGTTAAGTAAAACTTCGTTGCGGCGTTGTACCCAGGTATGATCTACGAGAATGGCCTGATGTTTTCTATTCTTGGCATTCTTCCATAATATCCACCGCCTTCCCGTCTCTTGCATGAGATCTTCGGAACCCTTCTCTCCTTTCCCTCGTTTACTCACAAACGCTTTCCTCTCCGTCTTCGTTCTCGTAGGTGCGCTATTCGATTCTTGCGTTGGCTAACCGACAGCTGCTATAGCAGGCTTTCAGGCCAACCTTACCTTCTTTTGACTGTCCTTTTCACCCGTCACCTTGCCGATTCTTTCTTTCTATGGCTTCTTGCCCGTTCAGCAGGTTCTGAATTAGTATTACCTGTTTTTTTTTTCCCGCATCGAAGGACGCGATTCCGATATATAATCAAAAAGTTTAATAGAGAAGAGGAGGTATTAGTGGTGTCGGGTTGGTGATCGTATTTGGAGATACGAGTGGATTTGAAAGGCGAATAGATATTGTTCGAAAAAGCGACTTTCAACAAACGACCGCGAAATAATTAATTCGTATAAACGCCCTTCAATCAAGATGTCGTACTATGATATGGGCGAGAAGCCCTCGGAGAGGTCAAGATGGACGCCGTTAACAAGAATGTTGCTGTCGGGAGAGATGACGCAGGAACGGCAAAAGGAGTTGACGATGCGAGAAAAGTTCGATAAGTGGATGATCAACGAAGGCTACCGAAGATTGTTTGTACCAACCGTGAGTTTCCTTGATATGATTCTTTACTAACTATCAGCCAGTTTTGTCTTCGTTTTCATGGTTCTCCATGCCCTAGTCTTTGCGTTCGGTTTCGTCAACTACGCCGTCAAGGACAACTTACAAGTAGCGAGAGATACTTTTGGACCGACTTATATGATTGCTAGATCGTCAGCATTGGTTCTCCACGTGGATGTGGCCTTGATTCTGCTGCCGGTCTGTAGGACATTCATCTCGATGGCACGACAGACGCCACTCAATGGTATCATCCAATTCGATAAGAACATTACGTTCCATATCACTACTGCTTGGTCTATCTTCTTCTTCTCCTGGGTTCACACGATCGCTCATTGGAACAATCTGGCACAGATCGCTGCTAAGAACAACCTGGGATTCTACGGATTTTTGGTCGCCAATTTAGTATCTGGTCCAGGCTGGACGGGTTATATCATGTTAGTCGCGCTCACAGGCATGGTGTTGACATCGTATGAGAAGCCGAGACGAGCAAACTACGAACGTTTCTGGTATACTCACCACATGTTTATCGTCTTCTTCCTTTTCTGGTCTTTCCACGGTGCCTTCTGTATGATTCAACCCGATTTCGCGCCGTTTTGTATCTCGATCGGTACCTCCGCTATTGGTGTCTTCTGGCAGTACTGGATGGTCGGAGGATTTACCTATCTGGCCGAACGAGTTGCCCGTGAATTACGTGGACGCCACAAGACTTATATCTCGAAGGTTATCCAGCACCCGAGCAACGTTTGCGAAATTCAAATTAAGAAGGAAAATACCAAGACCAAGGCTGGACAGTATATCTTCTTCTGTTGCCCAGAAGTGTCTCTTTGGCAATACCACCCGTTTACCTTGACAAGCGCTCCCGAAGAGGATTATATCTCGATTCATATCCGTATGGTCGGTGATTTCACGAAAGGTGTGGCTAAGGCGCTCGGATGTGACTTCGAGAGGAAAGAGAAGGACGCGTCGACAGTTGTAGGTGTTGACGGTCAGAACAACGAGGTTGATCCTGCCTTGAAGAGAGTCCTTCCTCGAGTATACGTCGATGGTCCATTTGGTTCTGCTTCGGAAGATGTGTTCAAGTACGAGGTTTCCGTGCTGGTCGGTGCCGGTATTGGTGTTACGCCCTTCGCGTCTATCCTCAAGTCGATCTGGTATCGGATGAACTACCCGCAGAAGAAGACCCGTCTTGCGAAGGTATACTTCTTTTGGATCTGCAGAGATTTCGGTTCTTTCGAATGGTTCCGTTCGCTACTGATGGCCATCGAAGCCCAGGATGTTGACAACAGAATCGAGATCCACACTTATCTCACAGCCAAGATCAAGGCCGATGATGCGACAAATATCATGATCAACGACGCCAACGCCGACAAGGATACAATCACTGGACTGCGCAGCCCGACCAACTTCGGACGTCCTAACTGGGATATGATCTTCCGAGGTATCAGGAAGCTGCATTCGCCAGCTGAGGCGGGTGTGTTCTTCTGTGGACCTAAGGGTCTCGGCAGTGTACTTCACGTCTTCTGTAATAAGTACAGTGAACCTGGGTAAGTAACTTCGTAATCATAATTTGATGGAAAACCTTTTCGCGAACGGCTAACTAACTTAATTCGACAGTTTCTCCTTCGTCTGGGGCAAAGAAAATTTCTAAACTTGTGTATATACAAGTCTTGGCCGATATTGTGCCAATAAACCTCGAAAGCATCACCCTATCACCGGCGCCGGACGCAGATGGCCACTGTATTTATGTATTAATCGGAGGCAATTTCTGGTTTTCCTTCGCTCGGGGGGTAGAGTGCGTTCTTTTTGCTGAACTGGTCACCGTAGACTTTAAAAGTGGCCAGGACTCCTTAATTAGCTCGACAAGCAAAACCATACTCTATGACCTGGCCGGACCAACCATGATGAGATAAATTAATATATACTTAAACTCTTGGGCTCGGTGGATACCTCTTTAGATTCCGGCTGCCGGCGATGTGTCTACGATATACGGAGATGAAGTTGGAAACTCGGAGCTACAGTAGATGTTGATACCATATATATACCTTTGTATCTAGTTTAACTAAACCTGCAATATCTTTTTACGGTTAGATTTATATTCGCGCTCTATCTATCACTGATTGTAATTTTTTTGGATTAATGATGGGAAATACTCTACTTATCGAATATATTCAAAATAGAGTAGGACATCTATATAAACATCTATCTAAACGATAATCCGATGCGCGGCTCTTTCATATAGCCATAAGAAACAGCAAAAGTCAAGACGAAGCGAAAGATACCTTGTAATTACAACTCCACCCGGACCGCATGTGTAAAATATGCTTTGCGATTGGTCACTAAAGCCAAGAATTACTGAAAGAAATATTCAGGGTAGGACGGACTCATATAATATCACTTCTCGCTTCAGGTTGCCCTACTTAGGAGCCTAAACTCGGCACTCCTATTCGGGACTCGGCACCTGATCGACTACCGCCCGTCCGTCCCTATTATGAGGCTCTGACCACTTCCCTCGTCCCTAGACCCCCTGGTAAAATGATCCCGGCATCTGGGTCCGGCCCCTGAGAGTCGGTGGGTCTGACAAGCACGCAAGCAACAAGCAAGCAATCAAGCAGAACGCGCTGCGGTGAAACGTGCGTGGTCTGGATGTTGTTTCGAGGTGTGGGATACTTAAGGACACATACGTAAGCTGTTTTTTTTTTTCTCGTTCGTTTTTTTTTTAAACTTGTTCTTGATGGGTTTTTTTGTTAGTTACTTCATTTTTACTTGGGCGGAAATTGCGTTTTCTATGTAGTTATTACTAAAGGAGGTCTTCGGATATAAGGAGATATGGCAAATTTAATAATTGCGGAAATGTGGTTATTATGTGCTTTGACTTGACGCTAAAATGTTCAGGAAATGACTATTCCTGTAAATACCTACACGCTTGAAGCCCTCGAGTTGAAGGCATATCCTATTAATATTCAGTAACTTCGTCTCCTATTCTAGAGATTGGGTCTGTAAGGTTTTTTACACTATTTAGTTTCCCCTTACCCGACTTTCGTAGATATGGCCACATCGTGCCATAGCTGGCTAGCTAGACTTTTATTAAGGAGTAAAGTTACGCAAAAAGAGGTACCAGTATTTTTGATAATACCAAACTTCAATACCATAACAACACCACGAATGCGTAATGCTATAACAATGGTGTCACATATCCATCCTTGCTACCAATATCCTTCATATCGTCTTCTATGAATCTATCTTCATCGTCATCGTAGAGTTGAAAATCTCCCTCCGACACAGGCCCCGCATCCGGGAACCAGACTCCGCCGGTGGACCCGGAAGACTGTTCTTCCCCGGCCATCACCTCCCCAGATGCCCTTTGAGATTCTTGAACCAAATGGTCGTCCATGATCCAATCTAGATCAAACATATCTTCTTCAAAGTCTCCTATCACGTCCCGGTGGGTATTTTCTACATCATTAGCTCCGGCGTCTCTCGTCGACGGTTCCTCGTCAATCGTTATTGTCTCTTGGCCGGATAGGCCGGTAGTAGTAGTGCTATCGGCAGCACAGACCTCGCAGCTTTCCGGGTGCATAACCGCATTAAACAGATCGTGCTTTGCAGTGAGCGGAAGCGTGTCGGCGGAGGCGCACGGCTTGAGATCGTTATGGCGGATACGATTTCCGTCGCTGTCGCTGTCGCCACTACCACCGGCGTCCGTCCGCGGCGTGGCCTTGGCGCAATAGAGGAGGGGCGACGGCGGGGTGACGTTGACGTCCTCGTGTAGACAAGCCCAGTAGACACGTCTTCGCTGGCACATGGGGGGTTAGATGGGGATGGTACGATGATGAAACGTATGAGTGAAGGTCTGACACGGATACGGATGGTGGTCAGTTAGGTAGTTGGCGGAATGGCGGCTGATAGGTGGTGGCGGTTTGAGCGCCCTAATTGGTGAACCTATCCCAAGGAGGGATTTTCAAATGAGACTTGGGAATATTACTGGTGGGATTTGGTAGCATCTCAAGCGCTATAGTTATTGGTATGTATTGGATTTCTTTAAGTCTGAAGATCTCGTTCACTTCATATCAGATGTGTTCCTGAAGGTGATATATGGTAAGCATACGATTTTATTATAACTAGGTACCTACCTACATTTGTTCTTGGTAGTTTCTCTATTGATTTGATAGCTGTGTTTCTTAGCACTGGCCCCTATGTGGTGAATGCGGGCTAGTTTGACTTTTTTAGCCAAAATCATTTACCAATGAGGGACATTTCCCAATGCTTCAACTTCCTATTGCTATTAAAGTACCCTCTGGTGTAATACCAGGGCTATCAAGAGTCTCTGTTATTTTTTGTTTAAATATAACCTCTTATAAATATATTACTGGAAGTCATTGAGCTCTAGGCATCAAAACCAGTTGATGAAACTTATCTCATCTGGGTTAAGACCCAGATGAATATAACAATTAAGGCTCATGTAAATTATTAATAATTTTTGGAAACCTTGTTAACCTTTGATATATTAGGCATCATTTTACACCTACATCCCTTCACTGGATGTATATTTCAGGTTGATATCTCTAGGCATATTCGATGTATGTCCCTATACTGGTCTCTCTTTCTTTCCTGTCTTGTGTTATTACTCTTCATAAGGTAAGCATAGCCGTTTCGTTAGATTCACTCGGAGATAGGTTCAGTTACTTAGGTATTCACTACAATTGAGTACTCTCGTATCAGGCAGTCATACTGTTGAGATGAACCGATTGATATCATACAAGTTATGTTTTTCTCTCTTATACATTATATTCCTATATAAGTGGCATCGAGAAGCCCGTTGGACTGCGTACATAAACGCTTCTTCTCGAATACTCTTGAAACGGCATCATCCTTGAGAAAGGTACTTGTGACATTTCTCAAGCGGCTGGACGACCCGTCTGAGCATCTCATGCCTCCATTTCTCGGGTGAGGTGCTGTGGTGTCCTTCGAGACACCATCTGATTGCTTGGTCAAAGTCGTTTCCCGCTTCCTCAATAACTTCGTCGTTCCATTTCTGGGCGGCAATAGCATCGAATAAGTCCTTCTGTGTGTCATTTTCTCCAACCGGCCAATCATCCTTGCGGTGCGGTTGGTCTTCGAGTAATTTTCCGAAGCATAGCTCTAGAAGAATAATTCCTAGTAGTTCTAGTGATCGGGAAGCTTTTGTGCTTCTGCTATTTGTATTCCCTGTGGATGATAGTTCCTGTAGATTCTTGTCATCCTTAGATCTGTTCATAAAATCGTGTCTGAGGTGGGGTTGGTCGAGGACAACCGTATGGGCGCTCTTGTCATTGCCGATAAAGACAATGTCCGATCTTTTCCATGACTCGGGGAGCCAAGGGGAGCCAACAAGCTGTAGAAACGAAGATGCTAAAATAAAGGAGAGTTCGTATCGCTTTCGACGACTAGGAAATGGTGATACCTCCCCCCGAAGTATTTGATCTATCGTGACAAACCTGTTGGTTTGCTGCTGCGATACCTTGTGCACGTAGTATCGGTTGTTATCTTCAGAGAGATAACCACAAACGTCATCAGTTCCCTGGATTAGGGATTCGCAGAGACTCAAGATCGGATCTCCATGATCAATATGGATCTCGGACGGAGAAATCATTCGAACTACCTTTGATCTGATGACAAGTCAGTTTAGATGACATGTGTTACTGCTAGTTCCAACATACAGTTTTTGCTTTTTATTGATATGTGAGTCATTATTTCCCATTGCTGATCTTATGGGAATACTAGCTTTATGATGCGGCTGGTGTATGGTAGCGCTTGCGACGACAGGACGACTTCTGGGCAATGATTGAATTCGATTATCATTACCTTCAACCATTAGTACTTTCCGTATGTCCCAATATGAGTGTAGTTTCGTTGCAAATAAGACACTGAACTTCTTTTCTTTGTTAGTTCGATGTTCTAGCAACAACTTCGCTACGTGTGGATCGTGGCAGTTGCAACACCATGCAGATGCAAGAGCTTTGAAAAACGCATCAGCTTGTATCCAAAAGTTGCATAGGGCTGAATCGTCAGGTTTTGAGGCCGTCTCTTGATCTTTAACGGTAGCTAGCTCCTTTACACTCATTTCCAATAGTCCTTCCAGCTGAGAATCATACAGCTTCAGCTTTTCGAATAGTCTTGAGCGAATGCTCTTCCTACTACTGAATTTTAGTTTATATGCTTGGAATCGAAAGTTATCTTTCGTAACTAATTTTCGCAGGCGATTTATCGACATTTGAGGTTTCTAGTCACGATTATTAATTCTAGCTATCTGTGGCTTCTTTAGTGACTTACTCTTTTTTGGAGAAATTCTTGTATAGCGTCCACTTCCAACGCTAGCTCATCGTCAAAAGCCTTTAGGCTATCTCTGGTACGTTCTATACAATCCATAAAAGGTTTATATGAGTCCTCACCTAATCGGTGTATAAGTGCATCTGCAATATTCTTGTCGTGCCAACAGTGACCCCCCGGATCTGATAATAATTCTCTTATCCTATCTTGATCCTCCGTTAAATCTGATAATAATAACCTGAGACGGGCCCTGAAAAATGTTTTGCAACATCTAAGGTTATATTCGCAATCTCTATATTCCCTTCTAATATGGAAACTTTCCTGGACTTCTTGGAACTTCCCGACAGCGCTAAAGGCGATCGGGAGAGCGCCAATCACGGCACCAGCAATCTCAAAGCCAGACATCGAGTTGTTATGAATACTATGTTTTTCGACGTTTAGTAGATGAAAAATGTAGGTGTTGTTGGGCATGGAAACTGTGAGGGGTTTTTGCCTGACCTCACCCCTCATAAATGCAGATACCTATGGGCCCAATCACGTACTGTCGATATGCGAAGCATCTTTGATAATCAATGGATTTGAGTGGGTGGAGGGGGGCGAGAAAGATAGCGAGTTACCCTGAGCAATTATCTGGCAGCATATTAACATTGGTTGCCCATACAGCCATTGTGTAGAGTACTCCTGATGAATGAGTCGAAATGTCGCAAAATGAGAACATCTCAGACCGGAGTCGTAAGGTGAAGAAGCTTTTTGCTAATCTTAAAAGTCAATTAGATGGCGAGACCAATACAGTCTCATATCTAGTAAATTCAAACGCTATTCAGGACGCTTTAGATCGATTTCTACTATGGTCCGGGAATCTGGGAGCTCTCCATTTACCAGAGAGCAAGCTTTCTCTTGACTATCGCGTAAGGGCAGCGCCAGAGATCCGAGATCAGATATGCGAATTCCTCGATGACCTCCAAGTATCCATTGAAGAGCGTAAGGAGAGGTACTCTCCATTTTATCTTCACTACTAATAAATATTATAGTGACGGAAGCAAGTAATATCAGCACTGTCAATCTGGAGTCACAGGGCTTGAGCGATAGTACAACTGAATTTAATTCAAAGGATGCAGGATCGTACACACTTGAACAAGTTTCGTCATACGAAGCTCAAAGTCTTCTCGAGGAAATATCTCGATGCATCCGGTCGCTTTTTAGGATTGGAGTATTAATACGAAAAGCGGTTCCACGGGATAGGTTTCAGGAAGCTCTCCGGCGGTCAAACTCCACGTTTCCAGCTACTTTTGACATCGATTACGCAAGAAATAAGCATCCTAAGCTGTGTAGGAATGATATGGAATGGCTAGCGGAGCGTATCGGAAAAGCGAATGCTCAAAGAAGACAATATATTCAATATTGTCGTGATCATAGAACACGGCTGGGCAATATACCAGACGGAACAGATAGGGGATCGGATACTAACCGCGATGATGCGGAAAGCAAAGCCACTACCATGTTTCCAGTCGAAGAACTCGTATTAGAGGAAGATCTTATATCGTTGACGACTGCATCAACGATGTTCGACTCAAAAAGCTCCCTTAAGTTACCGACACTAGATGAGTTATCACCTAAATTAGAGTCCTTTGAATGTCCTATTTGCTTTACTCTTCAATCGTTCACCGTTGAGAAAGCCTGGAAGTAAATCTTTCTACTCTATCTTGACTTTTCATGACTAAAATGCTATAGGGCTCATGCATTTCGTGACCTTAAAGGGTACGTTTGTACAGTTGGAGGATCAGGTTGTGAGGACGAGCTGTTTAACAATCGGGATACATGGTTCGAACACGAATTAAAGAACCATCGGTCGAAGTATACCTGTCCTGTGTGTAGAACGGAAGTGGGCGGCGTAGCTTCTTTAAAATCGCACCTGGAATCCGTCCATTGCAACTTTTCTGCTGAACAAATCTCTAGGTTGGCCGAGGTAGGTAGGCAGACACCGACTTATTTCAAAGCTCAAGATTGCCCTTTTTGCGACGAGTGGGCTGAGGGCTTAAAAGAAAAAGGTCGTATGAAGAACAGATCTGATGTTCAAATCGATGACAGCCCGCTTGTTTCAATGTCTCGCTTCAAAAGGCATATCGCCACTCATCAAGAACAACTTGCGATTTTCGTTGTGCCGCGGTCTGATGAAGGGGTGGACCGAAGTAGTACTTCAAGTTCAAAGAGCGATGAGCTGGCCGCCCCTGATGCCCCTAAAGCCCCAACTGACATCGCACCTGAGATGTCAGAGGACAATATTGAGATAGTGTGGGATGAAGAGGACGGAGAGTTTGAAGAGAATTTAGATCATAGCTGGTTATGTGTAAGTTGCTGACTCTCGTACTACCTGAATATTTTAACTAATGTCGATGTAGTGCAACTGTAATAGGGGAGGGTTTCATTCAATTACGTACAATGATTCTTGTACGGACTGTGGACATCGCAGGTGTAGCAATTGTATGACCTGGGAGG